AAGTACTAATTTTTAAATTTGTACTTGAACTTGAACTTTGTTAAAAAAATCTGAACCCGGAAAGAATGATAAATTTTTAATAAATGCTGTCTACACTGTCTACATTTGATAAATCATTTAATAACAAATATAGAAGAGAATGAAAAAATACGATAGTCAAATAGTTTTATGAAATAGATTTCAGAAGTTTTTAAAACTAAAAGAGGTTTTTTAAAACTATGCCTTTCACTGTAAATAACCATGTTTAACAGCTCTGCCGCTGTATCATGCTCTAATAAATTCTACTAAATGCATTAAATCATATATTTTTGAAATCCCAAAATAAATGTTTATTCATATATTGAAACATATATCAAATTTTATGAATCATATATTATCATATATATGAATCATATATAAAATACCTTAAATTAATTTCATATTTGATATATGCATTTAATATAATATATTATAAATTACGTCAATTTTTCTATTGAGTAGATTTAGTAATTAACTTGACTTAAGTTATAGTCTTTTAAGATATTAACTATATTGCTTAAAAATTAATATTATTTAACTGCAAAATATTTAAACAATTCAATATTATTAAGATATATAAAACTCAATACTTAAGTATTTTAACAATAGAAGGAGCTTAAAATGATAAAAAACAGTAGACTGTCACTTACATTCTTAATGACAACCCTCAAGATTCTAACAATGCACGATTACTGGGCTATTTACGATAACTTCTTAAGCGATATTATGGTAAACTAAGTTTAAACTTATAAGTATTTGTACATTAGGTGTTATACGGATAATCATATGTCATTGTAAAAATCAAAACTATAAATATATATTCTTAATAATCTTTAGATTCGAATTTGCAGATTTTATATACTTTTATTTAAAAATATTATTACATTTCGGTCTATATTCACTTAAAGTTAACAAATAATGATTATTGAGTATTTGTGAAACGACTCATTATCTTTTAATTTTGTTTTTATTCACTGTTTATACGGTAACACAATGGTCCTATAGGGTTAACTCGATCCCTTGAGATTGCCGGTATAACCTAACCTAATCTTCTTCATTCAAGTTTGATAAAGTGAGCATCTAGAAGATTGTGTTTAACAGCATAATAGTTATATACTATAGTAATAGTTAATAGTTACAATTAGTTACCTTGAAAAATATATTTAGTGTAATGGCAACAATAGTAAAAAATTTGAGAAGGTTTCATACATATTTTATTTATAAATCTTACCTAGTATATAATATATATCTTGCCTTACCTATAATTTTACCTTATATATAAATCTTACACCAATAATATAATATTCGCAAAAAGAAAACATATTTAAAATCTATATATGAGGAACAAAGCAATCAAGAGAGTATAATATAAAGTCTACATTTGAAATGAATTTTCTTTATAAAAAAAATATATTATAAAAAATAATATGTATAAAATAATAGACACATAGTGTCAAAAGTTTCTTACCCTAAAGAGCATTTACTACAAATAGAAACCATACAAGGACTTGTGAAACTAATACTACATCACATAAACGCTCTACTTTTTTAAGCATATAACGTTGCTAGTTCTTAGTTTTCAACTAACATACAATATATGTACTTTTAAACTGAATGATAGAAAAAACTTGTTACTTTGATATAATCATATTTCTAATTTGTGATTTAATTGTCAAAATTTAATTAATAAATTTTACTAGTTATACAACTATATATATTTATATATATTTTTATATTGCTTTTATTAATATAGATAAATATATTTATGGATTTAAGTCGGTTTAATTTCACATTTTCTTTGTTCAATACCAAAAATACTAATAATAATGACAGTGATTCTACTCAGGATGATAGCACTTCAACAGAAGAGAATGGAAACAATAAAGGTGAATTTATTACCATAATACTTTCTAATTGCACTAAAATATTTTTTTAATTATATGTATATTTAAACTGAAAAAGATGTTTTGGTTGAAACGATTGGTACATTCGGTATTTATCACATCACGGTGTGTTCTAGTGTTTACCTTGCAAATATACCGACTGGATGGGTGCAATTGGCAATAATCTTCTTTGCTCCACCAACAAAATTTATGTGTATAAGTCCAACTAATATCACTGATGCTTGCTCGAAAGAATGTCTAGCAATAGAATACGATCGGTCGATTTTCATAGAAACGATTGTTACTGAATGGGACTTAATTTGTGATCGCGCATATCTAACGGACTTATCACAAGCGATTGTTATGTTTGGCATATTATTTGGAAGTATATTTTTCTCCCTATGGTCAGATAGGTAATTCACACAAATATTAAATTAAATTTTCATTATTAAAATAAAAAATGCAGATGTCTTTCAGAAAAGGGCGTCGTTTAACATTTGTATCATCTGGTCTAATTTTACTAACATCAAGCTTAATCACTTCGTTTGTACATACATTTTGGCAGTTCTGTTTACTAAGATTTGTGACAGCTTTTGCACTCGGAGGCTTAATAGAAACAAGGTTTGTATTATTTAAACATTCTGACGTATAAATATAGCAGTTTTTTCCTCATAGCGCAGAGGTCATTGAGGACATAATTGAAGATGATAAACGTGAAGCTGCTGAAATACTTTCACAAATTCCATTCACTATGGGTCATGGATCTTTACCTCTTTGTGCATATTTTGTCAGACACTGGCGTTATTTCAATTTTATTTTCTCCGCGTTTTGCATTATATATGTATTCTACACCTTCCTTTTTCCGGAATCACCACGATGGCTTTTTGAGCAAGGAAATATAGAGAAAGCAATACGAAATATAAAGAGAGCTGCAAAGTGTAACAGAAAACATATTGACCGAATACGAGAAAGAGTTATATTATCATATAGTCAAATACCAAATCGCGCTATAACTAGGACAGTAACAACAGCAGATTTATTTCGTTCGTCTGATTTGCGCAATAATACCTTGATTATGTGTTCAGAATGGTTTTGTATTTGTTTTGTATACTTCGGAGTATCACAATATATAGCATTCTTGCAGGGCAACATTTTTATAAATGTAGCAATTGGTGCTTGGCTTACCCTACCATGCACTAGTGCATGTGTACCTTTGTCAAAGCGTCTAGGGCGGAAATGTTTACTTATTTGTACAACTGCTACTACTGGCATAAGTTTACTGATATTTGCATTGATCACTTTAACTGGTTCCATAAAATTGATGATGCTGACAGTAGGTCTACTTACGTCATGTATGACCATGCCACAAGTACACTTGTACGGCGGTGAAGTTTTTCCAAGGTATATTCGTCACGAAGGCGTTAGAGCTTGCTTTGTTATGGGACGCTTGGGTGCGATGTTGTCACCATTTGTAGTTGATTGGCGGGCTGCTGACTTCATGTTACCAGCATTGATATTAGGAATATTTTCTTTAACTATTTCATTTTTGTGTTTCTTAATGCCGTCTGTTAAAATCCTAAGTACAACACGGCGTAATAATGGTGAGAGTACTGGAGATATTGAAAGCATTGAAAGTGTTAAAAGTATTGAGCATACGGATAGTGTTGAAAGTACTGAGAGTTTTAAAAGTAATGACACTGTTAATAATGATGGGAATGCTAAGAGTATGAAAAAGTTTAAAGCAAAAGGAAAGTGATAACCATCAAGCTTATTCATATATTGTTCAATAATAAATACATAATTCATTGTTAAATACATAAAAAATGAAACATTGTTTATTTATTGATAATTGAGTTGACAAGAAATTAAATAATAATACATTAAGACTGAAAAGTTTTCGGAAATTCTCATTTAAAATTCGCGCGCTGTATATTTTTCGATATTTT